CAATTTGCTAGTGCGGAGCAAAAGCTCCGCCTCATTCAGCTAATTGAGGCTGACCAAGAATTAAAATCCGGGAAGTTTTCCTCGAGTTTTACAAAATCAGAGTCCAAAAAGAGATGGATTCAGATTAGTGAAGAACTCAACTCCATCACAGGAGCAAAAAAGTCTTGGGAGGGGTGGCGCAAGGTAAGTCTGTTCAGACATCCTCGACTGTATTATTGGGCAGTTTAAGTTGTGTACAAGTTGTTTATTATTTTTATTCTTTTCAGACATGGCAGGACAGAAAGGCCAATGCAAAAAAAAAATTTATCTCAATACGTCGTCAGGCCAACCTAACTGGTGGTGGTCCACCTCCTCCTCCACCTACCACGGAGGAAAACTTAATAATAAACTGTATCGATAAAAGTTCATTGGTGGGTCACACTGATTCTCAAGAGTCATTGGTGACAATGATACAGGTGCCACCCAATATTGATTCGCAGGAATCATTGGAGACTATAGTACAGGTGGCACCCACAATTGATTCGCAGGAATCATTGGAGACTATAGAACAGGTGGCACCCACAATTGATTCGCAGGAGCCACACTCTAATGTTGAGCCAAGTGAAGCAACAAGGCAAGTAAGGCCAACCAACCAACCAAGAAGACGGAGAACTGTGGCACAAAGAAGACTTCAAGAAGGTTTGAGTGCTGCCCAAAACCTTCGTATCTGCCTCGAGGAAAAAAATAAAATTAAAAAAAAGTTTTATGAAAACTTTTTAATAATTATGGAGAAACAAACGCAGGTTTTATCAGATATTGCCAAGGCATTAAATAAGTAAAACCAAATAATAATAGTTATTTATGGGTATAATTATAATTTTAGTACATTGTTGTGTTTGAAAAGAGTTTAATTTAGCTTATGTTATTTTGTTTGAAACTTATTAAGGTGATATCAATGCATAGTGTTTTAGATCTCATTATGGTTGTGTTTAAAAATAGTTTAATAATTTAATTATATAAATAAACATGAAGACTGTAATTAAAAAATAGCTTAACAAATAAAGGTGATTTATAATTCATCATTGAAGTGATTTATAAACAACTGTAGTAATTGTAGAGCTCATGATAATTGATTTTAAAAGTTAAAAGCTCAATATTTATATACTTACCTAGTTAATTTTGTTTTAAGATTTTCCATGTGATATCAGTATAAGTATTATTTTAGACATTTAAGATTCTTACCCAAGGGTTAAAATTAAGACTGATTAATTACTAATATATGTAGACTTGATTTAAAAAATGATGAAACATACCTATTAGAATTGTTATTGAATATCATATTGTGGTTAATTTTTAAATTTAAATCTAACCAACCTAGTTAAATCAATATAGCTTTTTGGGTCTTTCGACTGCTACTTACAGATTTATGAATAAAAGTCTTAAAAAATATTTAAGTTTTTATTTTTTTACAAACTTCATTCACATCCCACAAATACAGTTTGATAGGACTATTGCCACTTACAGCAGCCACTTATTACAAGAAGAAATACCATTTACAACATAAATGCAAGGGCTAGGCAAGTAAAACCAACACACTCTTGTCTTTTAAATACTTAATCCTTATTTCAAAAGGATTTTTTTGCAAATACATACTTCTCCATTTGCATAGACTATTTAAATAGTACTTACAAATCTTAAAATATTTAATTTCTTTAAATATTTTAAGATTGTAAAAATATTGAAGTTTTGCTCTTAAGTTGCCTTTCTTTACATGTCTCATAATCATTTTACCCAATAGATTATAGGTAGTGTAGGTACATTATTGATTCAGGAATAGTTCTCTGAATTAGGTAACCACGCATTTTTGTATGGTGTATCTTATACATAGAAATGGGTATACAAAAATGCATAGTATTATGACCAATGTAGTGACATGCTGATATCTAGTCTAGACTTGCAAATAAATCAAATCAAAATTATCTTTATTTTTATAGTAGACTAATTAAATTAGTACTTACAATTCGTCAATCAATCAATAAAGCACATGATTCCTATATTTGGAATACAGTCAAGTCGTCAAGTGCTCTTAAGATGCCTATACATATCTCATTCTTTTTTTGCCCTACCAGCGCTTAAAGACAGGGTGTTGCATTACAAGCTGGACTGCCGATTTAAAAATATAAGAAAGTAGGAAGTTACAATAAATTCAGAAACAAGTTACTTACCATACATTCCCATTAATAGAGTACTATAATGACAAGCATAGGAAGTATAAACAAGCATAATTAATTAAAATAATTGTTAATTATTAAATTTTGTTTAACTCGTGCCTGATTTAAAAAAAAATTTCTTGACGTTTCACCATCTCTTGATAGTGGTTGTTGAGGAATAATTCCGAGATCCTCATCCGGAGGCATGCCAGGATCAGGGACATTGTGTGCAATGCACATATTGTGCAGTACACAACATGCATTTATTATTTTGGTTGCCTTATTTGGCTTGTAATGCAACACCCTGTCTTTAAGGAGGCACCTAAATCTCCCTTTCAGAACCCCGTTACATCTTTCAATCGTAGATCGTGCTTTTTTTAAAGCCTCTGAATATCTGTGTTCTGCAGATCCATCTTCGGCATGTAAAATTGGCGTAAGACACCAAGGTCGTAGTGCATATCCACTGTCTCCTGAAATAAATTGTTGTATTGTAAAAGACAATGCCGGAAATTGGCGTCTTTTTTTTTTCGCGCGGCCATCGACCAAATCATGTTTTTTAGATACAAAATAGTGTAATAAACCAAACTTACTATGNTCATTATAACTTACGACCTATCCTATCTTTAACCTAAATCTTAAGAATCACAGTGTGTAGATCAAATATTGTGAGGGGGGGGGCTTTAACGCGAAGCTGGGCAAACGAAACGACAATGAGCTGGAAGTGGGGCAATTTGGGTATGGAGAGAGGAACGCACGTGGCTAATTGCTGGCTGGCTTTATGGAGAGGGATGATGAACTCCTTCTTCAGAAAGCCAAAACAGCGAAACTAGATTTCGCTGCATCCCAATGACGCTATGAAATAATGAGTGAGATCAACTTCATCTTGTCGACGTAGAAGCATGTTGTTTGTGAGGTCAATTTGGTCAAAACAGGAAGCAATCACCAAATGGTAAGGGACACATTAAATATAAGTCCGAATCTCGATAGATGTCGACTGATGAAGTCTACACTCCGCCCAGCGTCCATCCAACCCCGAAAGCTCAACTCGAGTTGCAAAATCGTTTCCAATGCCAGGACATTGCAAAAATGTAAGAGTACAATGGTAGGTTCTTGGGAATTGTCCAAATGACTGTGGAAGGTCTTTAAAACCCGTCGTTTAAGAGAAACAAAAAATATCTCTGATCTCATCAATAACTGTATAGAAGAGAGACGAAACATGGATCTGCAGTCATTTGAAGATGCTACTCAGTATCGGCGTCTTAACAGATAGATCTCTAAGTATTTTGACTCGCGACCTACGCATATAATACAGACGATTGAGCATAACAAGGGCTCTAGGTGTTCGTAAGAGATTCGTCTGTCTGTTGGCCAAAGCCAACTGACCAAGCTGAAGACCGAGAAGAGCGTCGGGGCCTGAGATATTGAAAGAGGTTGAGAAGTTCTACGGACAATTATACACGACTGTGTTCACACCTGTTACAAATCTAACCGAAGACCCAAGAGCTAGATTGACCCGACACAATACCTAAGATATCCCGAACGCCAGTCTACACGAGCTTGGAATAGCTCTGGAATAGCTCTAAACAACAAGGCCCGTGTGATGATAGAATTACGGCTCAGCTTTTGAAAGCAGGTGAAATGTCGATGCTAAAGGCTCTTTGGAAGCTGTTCTATTCCGTCATCCTCGGGGGAAAAACTTCTACGGCACGGCACAGAAGTGTGGTGATACTCTTCTTCAAAAAACGGCGATAAAACCTTGTTGAAGTATTATAGATCCATCTAACTTCAGGGACACGATTCTCATGCAATCGAAAAAAGTTCACATTCGTAAAATAATTCGAAGATCGAATTTTTTTCGATTGTTACACAGTGTGTGTATTCTGAGAAGTTCACGATCGAAAAAATTCGATCGAACACCACTCGAACGCAACGAGTGCTACTGACCACTCGAAGTAGGAGTTCGTATACGAAATTAGCTGTCAAAGTCATAATCCGCCCCGTTGTGTATTGGTTTTAGCTGTGAAAAATCAAGGAAGTTTTTCTCTTTATCCAATTATAAGCTCAAAATGAACGAGGACGAATTTATCGTTGACTTCTTCGGTAACCTGCTTGAGGAGTTGGAAGCAGCGACCGTGGATCCGCCGCGGCGTAGAGTTCCGGCAAATTTGGATCCCTTTAGCTTCAGCGATGCCCAGTTTATAAAACATTTTAGGCTCACTAAAAGCCTTGTATTTGATCTCATCCAAATTATTGAGCCAGTGATTGAGCAGCGATCACGGATTGATATAAAAACCAAGGTAAAATAAACTAAAATAAAGTGTAACCTTCCTATGNCATAGTAAGTTTGGTTTATTACACTATTTTGTAATCACAAAACAAAGTTTGGTCGATGGCCGCGCGAAAAAAAAAAGACGCCACCTTCCATACAAAATCTGGCATTGCCATTTATCAAGTGATATTTTATGTAATGGTGTATTAACAGTATAACAACAGTATGAACTTGTTGCAAGATCAAAATCCTTTTAAACATGGACTTTTAAATAATGTGTTAATATTTAATATTATTTGTACATACCTATAAGGTGATAACTTTGATGGCCACTTGTGTATAATTGTTCCATCACAGGAAGGACGTTGGAGCTATTCCAGATATATGAATCGTGTGTGCTTCCAGGGAACAGAGCATTTACATTTAATATTTTTAAGTTTGAATCACATATCTGTTGAAGAATAAAATGATTAAGTATTAATAAAATAAGTTCCAGATTAGAATATCACAGGAGTGTGTGAAAATGTTACTACATATTTACCAATTGCGCATTGATGGAGTGGTAATGCTTCCTATTTACATAGCTCCTCTCCTCAAATGGTCTTTGAGGAGGAACTATGGAAATATGGGTGCAGTCAATGCAACCAACAATCCCTGGGAACCCATAGGCAGTGTAGAAGCTGGAAACATAATAAATTGCTGTAGGTGTGCATCAACCAACCTAATAATAAGTGATTAATTGCTTATTATTAATTCCCCTGCCCCTACTTTAATATTATATGATTGATAGGCATCCAAATTTTCACTTAAGTAGATATGTAGTAAGAAAGAAGATAATCTGTCTTATTAGACTATTTCAGACAACTGTTAAAACTACAGCTAATTTTACGCCATTACCAACCTTCTCGAANCCGGTTTTTAAATAATTCTTAATAAAATTTTTCTTTGTGAATCATCTATTAATACCTTATTCCTTTACATTTCGGCAAACAACACCGCCTAACTCTACAAAAATATCAGTCAATACCGCTCAAGTCATAAAATATAGGTTAAAATAAAGTAAATCGTCAAATTAAGTATAAATAATTATTTCTCAACCGCTAAATAAAGTATTTAATAAGTAACAATAGGAAAAATCCACAGATTTTTTAAAATAAACAGTTTTTTTCGTCTCCTGTAAAGTTGGTAAAAATGACTTACGCGGTGTTGTTAGCTAAGGGACGATATTTTATTATTCATCATCATCATCATCATCATCTCAGCCATAAGACGTCCACTGCTGAACATAGGCCTCCCCCAATTCTCTCCATGTTACCCGGTTGGTAGCGGCCTGCGTCCAGCGCTTTCCTGCTACCTTTATGATGTCGTCGGTCCACCTTGTGGGTGGACTTATTATTATAATCTAATAACTAATAGCAACCTGAAACTACTAGACAAAAAGAATACAAGCTCTTATACAGGCAAAAGGAATATAAAGTCCTTTTTCACGAAATGTTCATCCCAATTGAACAACGCACTTTTTCGTCGTAATCATCCATTGTTCGCCTAGCGCCTCGTCTAGCGAATGTTGTTCGACACGAAGCTGTTTGCGCACGAACTCATTGACACATACATCAGATCCATTACGAATACGGCTCGGAGTGGACGGCTGTGTGGCCACAGTGCATACGCATGCAGTATAGCGAATCTTCAGGTAAATAATTATTGTGGCACGAGGAGCCTCAATGTTGCGTGTTTCGAGGTTTCATAGATACAAGTATTACTCGATATGCGCATAAAACGTATTATACCTATTATTTACATAGATTCGAGACGGGGGAAAATATGCGTGGAAATTCAAGCGAAAACAAAAGAACATCGATATACGAGTAGGCGTCAAGAAAAAGAATTAGGTTTCTTGGCGCGCGGGCAAGGATTAAAATAAATAATTGACTTTAGACTTTTTGCAAAAATCCTCTTTCGCCTATAGAAAAAAGACTTTTTGCCACATGCCATGCCCCTAACTTTAATTCAGTAAGTACAGTAACAACACTACTTAGTAAATGTTCGATTTATATTGGTTCGATTTCAAATGTTTTGAAAACATCACTAATTGGAACTCATTGTCTATTATGTATCATTTCCGAATATTTTAATCTTCTTTTTTTATTATTTTCTATTGACGTTCATAAGTGCCACTTGTGGTCTAAACTGAATAAATATTTTTGATTTTGATTTTGATTTTGACAAAAAATACAATGACATCACTAATTGGACATCATCATCATCATTGTCTATTGAGTATCATATCCGAATACAATAAAAAGCAAGAGTAAATAGGCACTTACTATGCATGAATGTTATCTAGACAACTTTAATCGAGATCGTAGCGACGAGAAAACTTTGAAATAATAATGTTTTTCTCACAATATTACCAATAGAGCTTCTCTAAAGGTGTACTGTGTTGTGTTAGCTCTGGGAATATAAGGAGCTCTTACACTGTTGACTCATTTGTTCCGACTGCCAAGTGTCGGTTTCTTTCTTTTGGTCCTTTTAGGGAGAATGCATCGTAAATATCTAACATACAGAATAGAGTTTGAAACATGCGCTTTGGAAGCTTTTAAAAATGTATTTATTTAAAGGCACTGTGATACAATCTTTGATGGTTCAGTGCGGTAGTCATCATACTTACACCCGTATTCCCAAACGATGCTTGCTTAAGTGAAGCAGCAAATCGAACTCACAGCGTTGAATAGGCTCTGTGATTAGTTCGTGTGCGACCCTGTGCGTCCACGCGCACTGTGAGACCTCATAGTAATGTTTGTGAATACGGGCGTTAAAATTCTCTTGTGCTATGGTATATTGGGTGACCTTGAGCCTTCTTATGAGGCCCATAGTAAGCGACCACGTTTCGGATCCATATGTCAACACTGGCAACACACACTGCTCGAAGACTTTCGTCTTGAGACACTGCGGTATTTCGGACATGAGTATATGGCGAAGCTTCCCGAACGCTGCCCAACCGAGTTGGATTCGACGATTGACCTCTTTCTCGAAGTTGGACCTACCTAACTGGACTGTTTGTCCCAGGTATACATAATTGTCGACAACTTCGAGTGTAGAGTCTCCAACCTTCAGAGGAGTGGGTGCAACACGGACATTAGACATGATTTTTGTCTTGTCCATGTTCATTCTGAGGCCCACTTGTTGAGAGGCTCTACTGAGGCCATCGAGCATTGTGCCTAGATCCTCCAAGGTCTCAGCCATGACTACGATATCGTCCGCGAATCGAAGGTGGGTGATGTACTCGCCGTTGATATTTATGCCAAATCCGTTCAATCAGAAATGAGGAGATCCGTAGGAGAACCAAAGTAACCGACATAGCTCGCAGAATTGCTAAAATCAAGTGGCAGTGGGCGGGGCACATAGCTCGTAGAGACGATGGCCGTTGGGGCAGGAAAGTTCTCGAGTGGCGACCACGGGCTGGAAAACGTAGCGTGGGCAGGCCTCCTACTAGGTGGACCGACGATCTGGTAAAGGTCGCGGGAAGAGCCTGGATGCGGGCAGCGCAGGACCGTTCATTGTGGAAAACCTTGGGGGAGGCCTTTGTCCAGCAGTGGACGTCATTTGGCTGAAACGAACGAACGAACGAACGATGGTATATTGAAACAACAACAAAATCTTTACGACCTAAACTCATAATTAGTAAAACGTTAATTATTATTTACTTCCTTGCCTACCGAAAAAGCTTTTATTAAAATATGAGTAGGTATCAGTTAGATATAATCAGGAATTTTCAAATTTAACCTTCAATCTTATAATGTTAAGGGAAATAATTAAATATGAACTTGCTTTCCGATAAAACGTTAATTTATTCAGAATCTTTGTTCCAAATTGAACCAAAACATGGTTGTTTTTGAATAAACAAAATGGAGAGTACTTCTCACAAACGATTTTTCTTGTTTGTTTGCCGATTCGAACTCGTCAAAGATCACAAATGTCGCGGATAAAAACCTAATCCTACAGAAAAGGTTTCGTTTGGTTTGTTGGAATAAAGTGTTGTCTCAGTAATAACTTTCTTTGATCGACACAACACAAGGAATGACAGTAAGTCAACTCTTCTAAGAAGCATGAAGTAGCATCCCTGAGCGAGCATAGATAGCATAGACTCGTATACAAGTTTTTTTTTTAAATCTCCAGCTGTAATTGCCGGAGTTCGGTTTTTGAAGACAAACAATTTCTTGTATATTAAACAACAATGTACTTATTCTTTTTTTTGTTTATAGCAAGTGCTGGAAGTTTCTCGCTAATGTCTACGAGCAAACTTGTAGTCTCCATACTTTTAAGACGTTTATTTATGTACAAGGTTTTAGTTTTAGTTTTTTTTTTGTATATTTTTTTTTACTTTTTTTTTCCTTAATTTTATTAAGGTGATTATAGACAATAGTACAATATAGGTAAATGTATGAAGTTTGGTTCGTGACAGGGTGTGACACTAGACATTTCATAATGCGGCTTGTTGTTGTATACCCATTCTTATAAGATACATCATACAAGAATGCGTGGTAAATTCAGTGAACTGCTCCTGAATCAAATGTACCTACTACTGCTTTTTCTATTTATTCATATTAACCGGCAGACAGTGGTGACTGAGTTTGTTGCGGCGCTTCTTCTCAGCACTTGCCAAATGTTGGTCTCGAAGCGCTGGTAGGGTAAAAAGATTATGAGACATGTAGAGGCTCCTTAAGAGCATATGACGATTTGTAAGAACTATTTATTAGTCTAAACAAATAAAGACATTTTGACTTTGACTTTGACTATAGGTAAATGTTTATTTATATTAACCGGCGGACAGTGGTGACTGAGTTTGTTGCGGCGCTTCTTCTCAGCACTTGCCAAATGTTGGTCTCGAAGCGCTGGTAGGGTAAAAAGATTATGAGACATGTAGAGGCTCCTTAAGAGCATATGACGATTTGTAAGAACTATTTATTAGTCTAAACAAATAAAGACATTTTGACTTTGACTTTGACTATAGGTAAATGTATGAAGTTTGGCTCGTGACAGGGTGTGACACTAGACATTTTATAGAGCGGCTCGTTGTTCTGTTACAGGAAAATGCTCATGTATATACTTAGCTTTAGGCTGGCAAGGTATTACTAGATATCTCTATCCATATTCGTCCAATAAAACGAAAAATAATTGTCACTTACCAGACAGGCTTCAGAAGTCACATCTTGGCAAAGTGAAGGATATTCTGCAACCAAAATACATAAATCTGTTAATCTATATTATACAGGGTGGAAACGATAAGTGATCTCACTCGATTATTTCTAAACTATACAAGATATCAATAAACTAGTTATTGATCCTGAAAGTGCTTCATGAGCTCTATCAAACGGTATTAATAATAGGTTACAGAATAAACTGGATCTATCCGAAACTTCAATGTTTCCAGCTTCCATACATTTGGTAAAGTCACATTATTTTAAAAACTACATATGATATCGTAAAACTGATTACTGATTCTAAAAGTGCTTCACAAGCTCTATCCAATGGTATCAATAATAGGTTACAGAATAAACTGGATCTAACCAAAAATTCAATGTTTCCTTCTTCCATACATTTAGTACTACCACACTCATCTCTTGACAATATTATAGCAAGTAAAGCCTAAAACCAATGTTTTTCATTAATAATTTAAAATAAGAATACAATTCACGAGTTTATTTTAAGTATTTATTATTAAATTAAAAAAATTACACTTCTAATATTGTGTGTCTGGCATACATTTAGTATGGAAGCTGGAAACATTGAATTTTCAGATAGATCCAGTTTATTCTGTAACTTATTATTGGTACCGTTTGAAAATGCAGTCTGGTGACATTTAGGGACCCAAATGACATT